TCTGCGCTACAACTACACTTGTAAGGAGCGAGCCTACCAAGCTGGCGTACAGAAATTTGGAAGACATCAGAAAAGTTTCTCAATGACTCATAAATGTGATTTTCGAGCATGAAACAACATAGAACTAGAAAACAACAAGATCATGCCCTTGCACTTACCAACTGGCTCCATTTTCAATTAATACCTTTACGGAAGCAGCCTACCTCCGCATTTTCAATTTATTTAGGCGTGGTGTTGGAAAGGCATATGCCGACACGGGTAAAGGGTGGCCAATAGCCAAGACTAATTATAAAAAGAGTAATATCGTAGACGGTATTAGCCACCCGAGCATAGCTATACTATCGACAATTGCGAGGACGGTTTCCGGGGGCGCGAAAAACTTATCGAAAACAGCATAACGTATACTTGCTATACGTGTTATGTTTCGTATTGGCATGGGTTTCTGGAAAGTCGGGAATATTGGGTCTATCCTTTCATCTTCGCTCGGCCAAACCTCGACGCGGGGCTTTTATGTGGAATAGTGAATGCAGCACAGGTTATGTGTAGATAATGAGAGCGGCGGTCATGATACCTGTTTCGCCCGGAACTCACCAGTCCGATTTAATGTGTTCTGGAATCTCAATCTCTGGGTTTCATCAAATACGTTGTCACGAAGGGTTTGTGTGCATACAATGAATGCTTTCGGTGTTTGCCACCGCATCCTGGAGACTCTTTTATGAACGTTCAAAGGACTTTTGACAAGATTAGATCTGAGACACGAGGCTTGGTCGGTGTTTGAAACCAAGGAATCCAGCTTAACACCCGTTACAAGGCAGAGTGTTAAATTTTCGGAGCTTGGTAATGGATTCTCGCGAATTTTCACTTAAAAATAGTTGTATTAACAATAGCCAATTCCATGTAGGTCCATGGGAGTTGCCGGCGTTCGTGTAGTCTGACGAGCTTGGTCATCGGTCGTAATGTCTAACGCCCGGAGATATGCTCACAACACCGGAGATACTTTACTGTCTCTAGGAAACAGTAATTGTACTGCCGAAAAGGATTAGGGAGAGAAGGAACCTCGCCGGGGAAATGCTCATTTGTCAGGGCTCAGGAGCAGTGTCAAGTTAGGAAGAGATCTTGTGATATATTTACCTTATCCTCAATATCTACATGGCTCGACACTTTTGAAAAGATATTTTCAACGGAAATATAGATTCGCCACATTCTACGTCAAAGCTGACACAACATTTTGAATCACTACAGCCAACGCTTTCTTTAATTGTATCTCTAAAATGTCATCGATACCATCTACTGTGACCAACAGCGATGAAAGATCACGTTCGCCTACAATATATGAGAAGAAGCAGGACGCCGGGGAAGATACCGACAGGGAGCCGCTGGAAAAAACTTCAGAAGGAGACACAAAACAAGATGAATACCCATCAGGATTTCGATTCTTCTTTGTGGTTGTTGCTTTGGTACTCTCGACTTTCTTGATTGCATTGGATATGGTATGATCTGTGCTTTGAAGTACATAGCGCACATAGTACAAGCTAAATCGTATTATAGACGATTGTTGCGACAGCCATTCCAAAAATCACCGACGACTTCAAGGGCCTTGATGTCGTTGGGTGGTACGGGTCTGCCTTTTTCATGACATTCGGCGGTTTCCAATCTGCTTGGGGAAAGGCTTTCAAGTCTCTCCCAATCAAAGCCACGTTTCTAACATCGATTTTCATCTTTGAGATTGGGTCTCTGGTCTGCGCGGTTGCTCCCAATTCAATAGTACTTATTATTGGAAGAGCTCTCGCCGGCATCGGTGCAGCAGGTGGCGGCTCTGGAGCATATACTATCGCGGCGTTCTCTGCCGAACCGAAGAAACGACCAATGTTTACCAGAGTCATAGGTGCTGCCTATGGTATCGCTGCAGTAGCCGGACCTTTGATTGGCGGCGCATTCACAGATCATGTTTCGTGGCGATGGTGTTTCTATATCAATTTGCCGATTGGGGGACTCTCTGCAGCCATTGTAATAATATTCTTCAAGACTCCAGAGGCAGCACAGCCTATGGAAGCATCTTTGACCGAGAAGCTGCTTCAGCTCGACCCTCTGGGGGTTCTACTCGTCATGGGCGCCATGGTCAGCTATATACTGGCATTGCAGTATGGTGGTCAACAATACCCTTGGAAGTCTTCCGTTCCGATTGGTCTTCTTATCAGCTGTTTTGCTATTACAATTGCTTTTTTATTTTGGGAGACATATCAAGAGCAACGAGCTATGATGTCAATGAGGTTGTTTCGAAGCCGTATTAATTTTGTCTGCGCAGGGTTTATGTTCTTCTTTGCTGGCTCCTATTATCTTGTCCTTTATTACCTCCCGATCTATTTTCAGAGTATTGACGATGTTAGTCCGACTGCATCAGGTGTCCGCAATTTGCCGATCATTATCTCTCTCACAATTGGTACGCTCCTGACTGGATTCCTCACCACAGCTACTGGGATTGCCGCACCAGTCATGCTTGGGGGATCTATACTCACTGTTATCGCGACTGGGCTACTGTATAGTCTCGAGATTGGTAGCAGTAGTGGCAAATGGATTGGTTACCAGATCATCGGTGGTGTCGGCTGGGGCATTGGCATTCAAGTACCACTTATAATGGCTCAAGCATATGCCCAGGCCGAAGATGTGGCAGAGGTGACAGCCATGATTCTCTGTGAGTTTAGAAAGTCTCAACCAGTTGACTTCATTAACCTAGTCATGCTACAAGTCTTCCAGATTGTAGGACGAGCTTTCTCTCTGTCCGCAGCACAATCTGCATTGGTCAATGTGCTTATTCATACCGTCAAGCACACAGCGCCAACCGTTGACCCGGCTCTGGTCGTAATCACCGGTGCTACCGAGATACGGAATGTTTTCAATGACCAGGAGGTTCCAGGTATCCTTACAGCTTATATGCATGGCATAAAGATTGCGTTCACTATCTCTCTTGCTGCAGCTGGATTGGCCGTCCTTTTCAGTCTAGGCACCAGCTTCCAAAAACTCATGTGTGATATTCCTTACGTCGCCATTCTTCTCAGCAGGAAACTCTCAGCATTATCAAAGAGCACCAAGAAAAAGATAAGCAGCACCAAAAAAGCAAAATTTTTAAATTGATCCATATCGCAGGAGACTAGAAATGGATGCGAGAAGGATGTTCATCGAGGAATAGCAGCCTTGGCGGCCTTAGGCTAGCGGATCCGCTCAGCAATCGAGACTCTGAGCTTGAACTCTTGGAGACATCACTATTCCGGTCTATATCCAACCATTGATCGCAAGACTACCATATGCTCAATTTGAATCCTCTGGAACACTGACGGCGGAAACAGTACGTAGGTATCAACGCCAGAAAACTTGACGAAGGAAGTTTCCGTAATACAAAAACTTGATGTTCTCAACCGCCACCCCTATCTTCTTCGACTCAGGGGTAGGTTCTAATGAGCATGACTGCCTGTTATCGATGACCGGCATGCTTCCTATTGGATGGAATTGACAATATAGCGCTACTTCTAAGTAATGATCCTCTGAAACCCCTCTAAAGTCTCATCACATTTTCAATGGTCCATTGCAATAACGGTCATTACGGGGTTTAAAAAAAATGTTCCGGTCGCCCGGCTAAATACGAATATATTACGTCTGTATAATTTATCAGTATAACGTAACATATTTCGATGTAGTTTACAACAGGTCCAATTTGCAGTCCGAAACTTCGCTTTGAGTACCACTTTCATGTCTCGACTGGATCGTCAGCTGAGATCAGACTTAACTGTCAGCCGATACTAGGCAGCTTCATAATATGTAGCTTTATTGAATCGATAATACACCAAGAACTCGAATGTCCGTCACTTGAAACCATGGATCATAATTGTAGTGATAAGTCGGAGTCGATTGATTGAGGTTTAGTAGAAGAGTAGTTACTGAAGAGTTTTCTGTCGACGGTCATACCAACCACACTGGCGCTTCCTGTTGACCTGGCAGTTTATACGTGACTAGGCCATGCTATCTATGACGACGATACGCGTGGAGTTGAGCGTCAAATGTCCTTATGAGAATGAAATCCTTGTGGGGATCATTGGGCACGTACCAGGACTAGGGGTTGATACTACGTGTATAAATACAACGACGTGGCAGCTATCCCTTATGTTCATAAAATGTCACTGAGTTCTCATCGCCTTCTCAGGATCAACTCAACAAAGTCTCATTACCCTTCCTTCTAAAATCCCTTTATTTACTCACTAACTAGATTTTCACCATTATGCGTTCCATTATCATTATTGCTGTGTCTCTCGCAGTCCTGGCAAAGGCTGCCCCCCAGGGTCATGACGCTGGCATTGGGAAACTGAATATCCGTCAGGATTGCACCGTCGATTGTACCTGCACTAAGCCGGAGACCGGTAGATCTTGGGAAGATACTCAGCGCTGCTGTGTTCCCAACGGTGGCACATTGGACGTCCCTGTATGTAACACTGTTACGATTCTCATACATCTCACCCGCTCTCACTTATCTAGTCACTCCATATGTAATCCTGAAGCATTGATATAACTCTGATTCTCGTTAGGCCGAGTACTGCCGCCGTATCCCGTACGAAACCGCCCAGGCTGGTTTTGGTGGCTGTTGTGGCGGGGACTCCCATTATGAGTGTCGACAGGCAATTTGCAGTGACTAGACACAAAGGCTGGAGCTCGATGCAGGTCGAAAATGGGATGGGAATGAAGATTGGCCAAATTGAGAGTACATGATGAATTACTTTTCGAAAATTGTGTAGAGTGATGAATACAGACTTAGGTATCCTGGGCTCCTTAGTTGTACCTCTTTCTTTCAAACATATAACCGAGGATGGTCGACGAGACCAATGAACATGTTGCATTCATTCGTTTACTTTGCATTACATTATATATCTGGACCTCTCATTCATGATCCCTCAAGGGTATCCTGTTTATGTATCGTATCGCATAACTTTCAAAAACAACTCAAAAAAGGTCTATCAAGAAGCAGGGGATGGAGGATCAAAACGGACTTCTTCCTGCGATCCCTGACTTGAACCATCAGCGACCGTCGCTGCACTATCCTGGACATCTTGCTTCGCCCCCTGGTCTGAACCACTGGTGGGAACTTCTACAGCATTGTCTATATTTTGGGCGTTGGCCGTTCCAGTGCCGACTACATCCGTGGCCAAGCCGTCTTTATCTGTGGCCTCTTTCTCTTTTGTCTCCTGTAACTTGGCGTCCACGGCCTTCGCCTTGTCCGCCTCATCGAGCTTCCAGTATCCCCCAAGCTCGTCGAATATGCGCTCGAAGCCAGGCAGTATCTCGTCAATATTCTTGGGCTCGACGTCGAACAGGTCTGTACACATTGCCACATGGGTACCCTCTGGCTTATTTGGCATGTACTCCACCGTGTCAAACTTGATGGCGACGTTGACGCTTTGCATCGGGTCTTCGTCCGACGGCGCCAACTTGTAATTCCGATAATACCCGCCCTGCTTGTCGCGCTGCCATCGCATAACCTCCAGATCAGTCGTCTTGGTCAAGCCCCCATGCACGAAAGCGATCTTGCCGCCCGAGTCCGGGTGGTGCTGCGCGAAGCTGTGGCCGCAATAGAAGCCACCATTGACCGTGCCGAGGCTGGTCAGCCAGCGCTTGGGCTTGCCGTAGCGGGTCTTGAGGGCGTGCCAGGCGAAGCGGAACATGTCCTTGTCGCCGAGCAGGAACTCGTTGTAGTAGGCGCCCTGCTCGTTGTTGAGCCACGACGCCAGCTGCAGGTGGTAGAAGAAGCGCCGCTTGTCCACCAGCAGCTGCCCGCTCTCCTGCTCGTACTCGTCCATGCGGCACGGCGTGTTGGTGATGGCCCACGCGGGATTGTTGGGCCGCGTGCGCGCGATGTCGGGCCAAAAGATGGTGCCGTATTCCTTGTATTCGTCGGAGTCGTAAAGCGTGGCGGGGTCGATGACGGGAATGTTATCGGAGTCGAGCAAGATTGGCTCCGCAAAGCGGGAATTAATAAGAGATGCGGTCTTCAGCTGGTAATTGATGCCGAAGAAGCCATCCTTCTTGATATGAAGGATGTTGTGGTCCTTGGATAGATCATTGAAGTAGATTTCGGGGTAGATGTCGAGCAATTCTTGGCCTTTGCCCATGTCCATCTCATCGTCCCAGTAATGGATCTCCACCGGAATGACAGAGTTCAGCCTGACCAGTGCGCGCAAGATGACCTTGACACGCATGAGGGTATCTGCATTGCCGGCCACGATGACAAGTCCACGACCATTGAACCTGCCATCAACCTGGGAGTAGGGAATCATCCCGGACTCGACAAAGGTGTGCCACTCCCGGCGTTTCTGCTCCAGTTCCTGATCTGGCCGGTCGTCAGTGACCCAGTCCTTATCCGTGCCATATTGGAAATTGACCTTCTCGGCCGGGCCCCATAAGCAGGTGCTCTTCGCGTCGGCCATTGTGATGCCGGGCAGGAGCATGACCGCCTGAAAATGGGGTTTGAAGTCATCGGCGGTCAGAAGCTTGTGCGCATCCTGGGCGAGCGCTGGCTCGGCAGGATTTGGAGCATTTCCATCACTACCGCTTGGGGAGTGAGCATCGTCCAGCTTCTTTCCCTTGTCGTCGAGTGGCGGCACCGGTGCGCTGTTCGGTCGGTCGGCGCTTTCGATGTCTGGAATGGCGTCGTAGTGCCATGTGAGGAACAGGAAGATGCAGATGACGACTGCCGCATACAGCAGCTTTGGCCTCCGTGTGACGCCCATTGCCATGATTGACACTCTCCGAAACGAAACAGATGGAAGAAAGTGGTTATCGCGAACTACGCGACTGAAGAGAAGCTACCAGTAGACACACCACTTCAGCCCCCCAGACAAGCGATGCCCCCCGCAGATTGACGTGCGCGGGTCTTCATTTCAATTTGCTTGTGATCCTGGTCAGAGACCGAGGCTGGCTGGCCTGTTGTTCGCCAGCGGCGACCGGGGCGTGGGGATGAGCGATAAGCTTCTCTTCCCAGTGGACAATTGAGACGGTACCGGGACATCTAGCGGATGTCTCCCCACTGCCAAACCCGCTAGCTTCACCTGAATGATGTAACGGTACTTCACCCGGCAGCATCAAGCTTGATCCGTCCGTCGACTAGCAGGGATCACAGGAGGAAAATCGCGTGCATCGCGTGCGGGGTTGCTCAGCTGAAGACGATCAACGGCAGGACAGCATCTGTATGCGTCTGATGCATGTGTTTCTTGAGCATCACAGGCTTCGTTCCTGAAAAGAAAACCCATCTCACTTTAACCCGGTGAATTGAGAACAGAAGAGTACCCGATAACCTAGGCTGTGTAGCCAGGTAGCTCATGACAGGACTCGTATATCCTACTCCAGGTCTAGGTATCGCCGTTAGTCAAGCAAATAGTCAATATGTCACGGTATGCCTTCGGGTTTCCTTGAAAGAGATCTCAATCAAGGGTTCGCCACTATTCCTCTAGCGATTCATTTCCGATTCTCTTTATAATAGTAGTCATTCAGGCCGTTGCCGAGAATATACAGTGGATCTTTATCTACACCTATCGCCGTTATTGCGAACACCATTGGGTCCCAGCGTTCACGCATGCCTAACATCACCCGTAAAATCAGGAGCTGTGGCACGAAGGACTCAACCCCACAAGCAAATATCCTTGTCAGCCTCTACATTCGCACAACTAGTTATCCTCGCCCCTTGGCGAAGAACGCGATCTATGACTCAATTCTTTTTTGTAGAAGGTTTTTTTCTTACAAGCATTAGTGGAGGATGACAGTAAGCCTGTTGTGATAGTTGTGGCATAACTAAGGGGAGGAAGCTATTGGCTGTTATCAACAGATCTGATTTATAGATACGGTAGAAGGTAGCTTTTGTATATCTCTAGAAGCTTGACTGAAAGCTTGTATCGATCTGTTAGGATTACTACACAATATCAGCCTCAAGCCCAAAGTCGAGCGTGACCTATTCCGTTTCACACAAGGCATATTCATATTGGATATCATACCACGAGTGAGGACGACTGTAAGTACTTCAGTACCATTACTCATGCATCTTGCAAAATATGTAAATTTTAGCCTAAGCTCGCAACGGCTAAAGTAGAGATGCCAGAAATGTGTGTGAGGCAGTGCTATCACCGCCAGAGCCTGATTTCATCAAGCTCTTCCGGGCCGTTTCTCCAGCCCCAAAATCTTCCTACCCTCCTCCGTTATGGAAGGAAGGCATTTAGTTGAAATATTGTACCTTTTTCTTGACTATTCTAGCCGATCCGCTCTACCGCTATTGCGACCACAATGGATCCGGTCTCTGCGTTTGGGCTCGCTGTGAACATACTCGCTGTCATAGACTGTTCATGCAAGATATTGTCTACTACTACAGAACTTGCAGCGCGAGGCATAACGAAAGAAAATGCTGACCTAGAAACCGTGGTCAAAGACCTGAGCGCTATTAACGCGAAACTCATGAACCCGCTCCACGGGACGTCAGAGCACGAAATCGCCCTGAAAGCACTAGCGGACAGGTCTCATGTCATCTCGGGAGAGTTGCAAGGAATTTTAGGAAAGCTACAGGTGGAGAAAGGCTCTTCGGGGATCAGGAGTATCACGAAGGCTGTTCAAATCGCATATAATAAACAAGGCATTGCGAATCGTATGAGAACTCTTGACCAATATCGATTGCAGATTTTAGCTCGACTGGTTACTATGCTGAAGTGGGTACTTTGATTTCGTGACTCGTTGTGATTTCTCCCTCGTTGACAAGCTGAACAATGAACGCCAAGTCGCAGTGCAGATACAAATTAGCAGCATGCTGTCAGAGGTAACTGGAGGCAATTCCACTATAGTCGAGCAGTTAAAGGAGGTCCAACAACAAATAAAGGCCATACAAGAATATCCAATCCCTGCAGAAGGTGCCGACCCACAAAAGGAGAAATATGTTATGGCACATCTCGAGAAGACGCTTGATCAGTTGCTCAAGCAGTCTGCCTTGCCAACTCCCGAAATGCGCGTGCTGAAACAGCTCTACTTCAGTTCTATTTATTTCCGAGAGGATCGAATTGTGGAGGTCAACCATGGAACATTCAATTGGCTTTTGGATAACGAGGAGCCTGTCATTGAGCTAGACTCTGCAGAGTATCTCGATACAGGCAACAGTGATGCCTCTACGGAGTTGCAACAAATGATATGGGAAGAAAACCTCAAGCAAGCACATGACAAGCGACTAGAAGCCAGGGCAGCTCTTCTATCATGGCTCTCCAGGAAGAGCGGGATCTTTCATATATCTGGTCGGGCTGGATGTGGAAAGTCCACACTCATGAAGCTGATACTTAACCATGAACGGACGGAACAGGAACTAAACACCTGGGGCGGCAGTAAGCAGGTCGTCATTGCACAGTTCTTTTTCTTCAGAGCCAGTACTCCAGATGCGAGATCACTCGAGGGTCTATACCGTTCTATATTGTTCAAAATTCTTATACAACAGACCGACCTGATTCCAGAGATTTTCCCCGATGCCTATCAAGCATTCGAGCGCAACCCAGTGGCAAATTCTATCGACGGTGTCTTCTTTCGTACATCGCAACTGTATAGCGCGATGAAGAGGTTCCTTGAGCGATCCTCTCATCTTCGATACCGGTTTTGCTTTTTGATTGACGGTTTGGACGAGTTTGGAGAGGCTGGTTCAAATCCTGAAGATCACCAAATACTTGCCGAGAATCTCCTCGCATGGACTACATCCGGTAACATCAAACTCCTCGTCAGCTCTCGACCCTATCCCGAGTTCATGTCGGCCTTTTCGAATTATAGCCAAGTCAAACTACACGAAGTAAATAAACTTGATATATTGAACTTTGGACTTGAGAGGTTTGAGAGCCACAAGCAATTTCACCGTGTTAGAAATCTCTACAAGCCTCTTCTTAAAGATCTTGCTGATCAATCAAATGGAATATTTCTATGGGCCCATCTGGTCATCAGCCAACTCCTTCACAAACTCGGTCTTGGCGAAGAGATCAGTTTATTGAGGAAGCATTTGGTCAACGTTCCCCAAGACATAAAAGAGTTATACCAGAGCATGCTTAATTTCGTAGACATTGGCGATCGCGACAAAAGTCTCAGAATATTCTGGTTGGCCATCTGCTTTTCGACTTTTAGATTCGGTTTACCCAATACACTACTCATGTTTAGTTGGATCGATGAGTTGTTCGATGACCCTCACTTCCCCCTTTCATGTCAAATTAGGACACATTCTGTGGACGAAATAGAGGTTTCCCAAAAACACGCCGAGCTGCAGCTGGGATATTATACAAAAGGTCTAATCGACACATTTGACGCTTGGCCATCAACTGAACCGACCAACTCCCCATTTCAGCTAAAGTTGTTTAACTTTTTACATCGCACCGTGTTTGACTTTATTCGTCAGAACCAAGATGTGATGAATTACGCTGCCAAATATCCAAATCTCACGGAACGCCTTATTTGTTTGAAAGCATCCCTGGCGCGGCTATATTTTCATGACGACCAATATGTCCACTCAGGACATCTGGAACATCAGCCCTGGAATGACATGGTCTCGTTAAACCGTGATGAGACTCGGATATGGTTAAACGCATATAAGAGCGCTATAACTTATCATATCACAAGAAATTCAAGAGGGTTCGAGGGCTGGGCAGCAAGCTTACAGTCTGGAGAATCGCGGCTCGAGGAGATTAAAATGTCCTGGGCTCACTGGATAATTTATGAATTCCAAGACGAAAAGTTCATTCTCGATGAAATCAAAGACATAAACTTGGTTTCCCAGCCAGATGGATTATCTTATTTATTTACCGCGGCGTACGGACGGTATGTAAGCCTAAGAGCCCGACAAATGAAGCCTCGCGTGGTCAAACATCTTTTAGAGGCCGGTGCATCTCCCAACGACCGAATGACTGCCACCCTCAACGATTCATACATCTGTTCATCAGTCTGGCGTTTCTTCTGCGTTGCATTTGCAAGAAAAAATATACCTAGTGAATACTCTTCCCAGGAAAATTGGGGACTACAGGGATTGAAATACTTTCTTCGGACGAAGGAGGTGGAAAGGAATGTCGTCATTCTCCTCGATCTAAAAAAAGATGGGGAAAGATATGATGATAAATTTGATGAGAATGGAGCTACGCATGCTGTTTCCCTGCTAAACCTAGTACAACAGCTAGAGCCTGATAATTGTCATCAATGGGCTAGAGAATTTGGGCTGCTCGGGAAAACACCATGGGCCTGGCTGCAGAACGCCTGGGTATCACTTTCACCGCGTGGAAAGAAGTCCCTGACCTACGTATCCACCCAACATTATCTCGATTACACTCTTGGCATGGAAATACCGGAGAGCTACCGTGGAAATCATGCTAAGAATGGTGTCTCCTTCAGCGTGCGTTCTGTTGTGATTGGAAGGACGATGTTGCCGGCTACTGGCCTGGCAGTGCGAGTTTACTAGTATAATTTCTAATGCCATGCTTACCCTACCAAAAGGCTCAAAGTATATGCGGGCAAAAGACCAATGTGAGGTTCCCCTCTGACCCGTGTCAGTTTGAGCTCGAAATCATGCAGCAAATCAGCCTACATTTGCAAAACAAGATAGCATTGCAATGGCTTGGTATGGAACTTTTCCTCCGCTGTATGTCTGCAAATAAAACAATACGTAAGAGTCGTTGAGTAGAGGATGAAGTGTCTTCATTTTTCGAGTTTGTGAGGGGTGGGATCATCTAATGTCAACATTCCCACAAGCCGATGCGCATCGATTGCCGCAAATGGCTATCAGCCCCTGATCTGATAGGCTACCTAGGGCGGCCGCCCCGTGTTATGGCCAAGACAATTTCACATGTGAACATGGTGATTAGTCGAATGGGGGGGATTCGCGAGTTCGTATTACATGTCAGCATCTATTGCAGATAGCTACTGCCGTGATTACGAAAGCGCATAGATTTCATGTCAATGACCGGCACATAAAATGGTGAAGGGCTCCTAGTAATCGCCAACTCGAGATACGAAATTTTGTGCAGATCCGGTTTTGAGAGATTCTGGCAAAGATGTCTGACCGTTTCAAGGTTATTGTGGTCGGCGGTGGGCCTGTTGGACTTATCGTCGCCCACATCCTATCCGCAGTGAACATCGACTATATCGTCCTAGAGCGTCACAGTACATTCGAGACAGAGAATGGGTCAACTATTGCTATTTGGCCTCATAATGTCCGCATCCTTGACCAACTCGGCCTTTTAGATGGTATTCGCAAGCTTGATATTCTGATACATGACAAAGTAAACCTCCGACCGGATGGCAGAGTTATTGCCGAATCCGACATGCCTTATGGGACTGGAAGACTGTAAGTTTCGGACGATTGCAATGGCACTATCTGGGCTAATAAACAAAAAGTCATGGTCATAAGACGATAGTTTTCCATAGGTTCCGTCTTGTCAAGTTCCTGTTTGATAACCTGCCCGACAAGTCTAAGGCATTGGCCGCGCAGGAGGTGGACAACATCTCCTTCGAAGAGAACAGCGCGACAGTCCACTGCAAAGACGGTAGTTCGCACAAGGGCTCCTTAATAATTGGTGCCGACGGTGTCAAAAGCAAAGTGCGCGACCTCATGCATAGCCTTGCTACTGTACATGAGCAAGACTTAGGCGAAGAGCCACCGTTTCTTTCAACGTACAGAGCCCTGTTCGGATACACCAAGGGGCCCTTGGCCGGTATGAAGCCCGGTGTGCTCTTTGAGACAAGGGGGAGAGATGTTCACTTCCAAGTCACGACATGCGAGGCGCAGGCCAACTTTGCAGCGTATTTTGCTCTGCCAAAGCCGACAACGGAGTCTCCGCGCTTTACGGCGGATCAGGTGGAAGAGCATGCCTCTCAAATCGCAGACCTCGTAGTGCACCAAGGCGGCACAAGATTTCAGGAAGTCTGGGCACAGAAAAACTGGGCGCATCTCGCCAATATTGAAGAAGGACTTGTCCGTCATTGGCATTGGCATCGCATTGTGTTGGTCGGCGACTCTTGTAATAAGCAGGATCCGCAGGCGGCGATGGGTCTCAACACCGGCATACAGAATGCGGTGGCTCTGGCGAACTCTCTCGTAGAGTTGCTCCAAAATCAAAGCGAGCCTTCACTTTCAGCCATAAATCGGACATTGACAGCATTTCAGAAAAAGAGGGAGGGGCCCACGAGTAAAGACTGCAGGACAGCGGCTTTGACAGCACGAACCGCTGGCTGGCGCTGGGCTCCCCTGAAGTTTGCTGATGTGCATGTTCTTCCGCACTTGGGTGGAGATCTCACCTTGCTGCGGTGGGTACTCTCGCCTCAGATGAAGAATGGTGTCGTGCTGGACGGTGTGGAGGAGAAGAACAGAAAGGATGGTAAGCTGGAGTGGGCAAGGCATCCTCGATTCAAAGGTGAGACAGCTAAGGCATGAACACTCTCTTTGGTTTGCTAGACATAGCGATTGTAACTCTTGGGGGCAGTAGAGATTAGGCATCTCACTCAAATTTCGGTATTGCTCTCTTTTGAATGACTACGTACCAAACGCGGTGGCGAGTCTGCCCTCATGTACCATAATTAGGTCAACCTCAATGTCTAAGGTGATGTCAGAATGTCTTGAGCCTTGAAAGGACGGACGTCGTCACGCTAGAGAGAACTTTGGCTGAGGGGCTTTCATACTTGCTGAATGAAATTAGGATCATTAGGCGGCCCTGATCCCATCGGCGGGAAGGATTATACGACATGGCACGGATCTCCGTGTGCTTTGGCGGTAGAGTGCTTACTCCAGTTCTTTAACCTAGCGACTTCCCACCAACAGTTCTCGCTTGCCATCCGCCAGCTCCGAACAAGTTTTGCGCATCGCATTCTAACTCGCATTCGAATCAAGACATATTGTGTGAAGCACGGGACTTGTCATGGCAAGCCAGCGGGGCAGAGTGCAGGCCGCTACCTAATACAGAACATACCATGCCCATGCTCTGTTACCAATTTCGTAAAAAAATCAAGAAAAGCATTCATCAAGTCACGCCGCCTTATGCCGCAGAAGTAATATAGCATCGGCCCCCAAGCCCAGACATCCCTTCGCGTTTTCCCTGGGAATAGGTCCCAATTAGCAGGGTCGCATCCCAATAGGTCAATTCAATGACAAACAAACAAGCCACAATCGTGGTCTCAACGGCCGTCTTACTGTCAGCCCTACAGGGGCTGTCTTATAAAGGGCAGACAGGTCAGTCGATATGTTGGGACTGTAGCTCTCCAGTGTCGCCTTTGCTCACCTACGTCGGTCTTTACCAATACCATGAAGGGCTTCGCTTGTCTCATCCTCGCCGGTCTGGCTTCTGGGCTGGCCACTGTTCGATCCTCGTGCAAGGACTGCACCGTTAGCACAATTGCGAATGGCGTTGTGGCCAACGGCTCAGTTCCCATTGACACCTCTCCGCGTACCCATTTCTTTAACACGACGCTCCAGGAGCTGAACTCAACAGCTTGGGAGTACTGGTATACAGATGGTGTCTCCGAGAGCGGCGACGCCGCTGTCACGCTCGTCTTCTTCAGGGATCCATCGCTCCTTGCTGCAGGCCTTGGAACTCTTCGGGTTTCCGTTGATGCCGTCTGGGGGAACGGAACTCACTTCTCTACCATGATTTTCGCGGACAATTCGAACGTCACAGACTGCAAACATGGTGTGGCGGGCTGGGAGAACAAGGGGGTGTGGTCTGGCGGAGCCTGCACGGACTGCTGGTTTAAGAGCGTGGACGACAATAACTTCATTGTGCGAATCGCTGGCACTGGTATCGAGGGCAACACTGTCGATGGAACCTTCGAGCTGACATCATTCACCCACCCGCGCTACCCGGATGGTACCAACTATCCTTCGAAGAGCGCGAGTGTTGAGCTGGCACCCCTGATCTACTGGAACGAGGCTATCCCCGCTGGAAAGGTCAAGACATCTTTTACCCTTTCCGGCACAGAGCTGTCCTTCAGCGGGTACGGCGGCTTTGATCGCAACTGGGGACCCTTCATCTGGGATTTCGTGGCTGATCACTGGTGGTGGGTTCGCATCGTCACTGAGCCGTACTCTGCTGTCTTCTGGAAGTACTTCTCGCCAATCTCAAACCGGTATCATGTCTACGGATACCTAGAGGAGAGCGGCAAGGTGCTTGTCAGAGCTTCATCAGAGGAAGCCGACAACGGCAAGGACTGGGCGACCATACAGTTGAAGAATGACACTAATGGTGTTCGCGGCTCGTTCGCGGACGATAACACTGGCTTTATTATCGATTTTCATTCTGCTGCGACGGGTGGTGTATGGCAGTTTGATGTGGATCATACCAACGTCGTCTTCGAAGCACCAGGTTCCAACGACGAGTACTCCCGCTTCGCTAATGTCGCCAAGGGAGGAAAGGTTGGAGGTAAGCAATTCGCAGGTATTGCCAAGAGTGAGCAAAATCACATCATCACTGTATATCCACTTCCTTGATTCAGATTGATTATGGACCAAAAGGGGTCTTGGTATCAGTTGAGTGGTAATATAATCCTAGCAGTCTTGTTTGGTTTGCTCATGTCAAGTAATGGAGACTCATTTCAGCCACAATTGTGAAAGAATGTATAAACTTCGTTGTAGATATTGGCTGAATCTTCTTGATGTAACCCATAGACTCGAAAAGAAATTGCCCGTGCCTCAATGCAGACCTGCCTTTGCTCCTGTGGTTTCTTAAGGTTTTGTGTTCTTTGCAATAAAGCTGAGAAGGAGCTTAGAGAGAGTTTCGGGCTGCTCTTCCATGACATAGTGACCACAGTCATCGAGCACTACTTCTTGAACATGGTCAGCTACCATCTTGGCTACCAGACCCATCTTAGCTCCCACGCCAAAATCCCCCCCTACTGCCAGAACAGGCATCTGGAGTTTCTTTTCGGCCAAGCCAAGAATCTGTAAACTAGTTTGCGGAACAGCTCGGTAATATTCAAAGCCCCTGGACATAGCCCCGTGCTTTGAGTATGCTTCGATGTAGATCTTCCTGCTGTCCTCGGTGATACGCTCAGGATGAGTCGCTTTGGTGTCAAAAAGCCAATTCAAATAGGCGCCCTCTTTTCCTTCAACAAGAATCTCAGGAAGGTCGGGGAGAGCGTTGAATGAGAACTGAAATAATTTGTTGTTGACCTCATGTGGGAGTGGGAAAGGGAGGCCTCGAGATACCCCTGGGAGTGTTGCATCCATGATGGTGAGACTCAGCACTTGCTCTGGGTACTGAGCCGCCCAGGCATACCCAATGATCGTTCCCACATCATGGCCAATGACATGTACCGGTTCCTTGAGCATGGCAGCGATAACTTCATGAAGAATATTGCTAATGTTAGTCACACTGTAGTCCCCTGACGGAGCATCCGAGCCGCCAAGTCCGGGTGGGTCTGCAGCGAACACCCGGTGCCTTGACGAGAGCTCCGGGAAAAGGGGCAAGAATGCCTCCGCGGTCTGAGGCCAGCCCGGCAACAGAACTAAAGGTGGTCCCGTTTGACCAGACACAATAAATCTGATACCACGCTCGCGGATGACGGAACTAGCCATGGTGCAGTCACCTTATGAAACAGCGTGTTCTTCTGGTCTGAGGTATGGACAAGGCGGTGGTCAGTGAATGATTGCGCTTCGAGGCACGATGAAGATGTAGAGATTATACACTAATCACGTTGCAACCCCACATGTATGATTGTAAGTGAGTTTGAGACAATTGCTGGAAGCCAATTTATCCAATGTCGACTTCATGAAGGCAGAGCCGGATGTGCTGTTTATATGCACTGAGAGAGTACACCAATATTACCAGACTTTGGGCGCGGAGCTCTAAGCCGCCGAACCCCGTTCGTTTGGACTCTCTTCGAACGCCGGTTCGAGTGCTGACAAGACAGAAGCCGATCGGACTTCTGGGCGGCTCTCTCGGACTCGTCTCAGACACCTTGGTGGCGCTTCAATTTATACGAGCGGCAAGGCCTAGCAACTTCGGACAGATAACAATGCGGCCTCAAGGGTCAATCAAAACAGGCCATGGCTGCAATCAAGCAAAGAATGACCTATCATGGCACGATACAATGATCCGTGGCCCACCCTTGATTGGATCGGGAATGCAGGATGATCCTGAAAGGTATCTTCTCTGCTTCTTTCCCACTCAAGTGCTCCCGATCTCCAAAGTCCAATGCTCCAAATCCTCTACTAATGGCGCAGTCCCACACACGTTCGTCCTCCTCAAGAGCATCATCTTCCTCGACCCTGGCGGAGATTATGTCCCAGTTACCGGCCAGCCGCCTCCTCCGAACAAGCTCTGCATCAATGAACTTCAAAAGCCTCCTCGCCTGGCTCACATTCCAGATGCCTTCCCGTGGTCCGAAGGCCTCATACCCGCTAAGCCACCCCGCTATCCAGCTTCGGATGCCGGTGTTCTGTGTCCACCGGTAGGCACCGACGATTGCTGGCATCATGCCGTGACCGAACGCGTCCGCTTGGCCGCACGCTGCAGGCGAAAGACCGGCCGCGATCCGACAGATATGACGCACCGTTCTCTCAGTGTCTGACGGTTGCAGCCTATCTGCTCCGTCAAAATACCGGGTGCGAGTACGCATTCGTGCGCATAGAAAGTGGGCATAATTGACAGCGGCAGTGTATGGATCAGAAGAATTGGGAAAGGTGAGGGGAGTCATGTCGACTGGCGCGGCTGTGGACGGGTACGAAGGGTCGGGCGGAAACGCGACCGGCTCTTCGAGACCAGTATCGACAGGTAGCTCTGAAGCGGGGAGACGACGCTGCCATGCGAGGAGCTGCTTCTCCAACATCTCCATTTTCATTGCCCATTTCTCATTCAGGTTGGGTCTGTATCGAAACTTCAGTTCCAGTTTACTGACTTCCTGTATTAGAACAAGGAGGCGATCCCGTGGAGAGTCGGAAAGCTCCATCATGGAAGCAAGGTCGCTAGCAACGCCGGGGTTCATGTTGTTGAGGTTAGTGACCGAGTACTCATCGTTTTGCATTTCTACCAGTAACGCCATTCGCGCGAAAGCATGGGCTAGCGGACGTCCTTTTGGCGAGCTCATAATTCTGCTATGCCAAGCACTCAAAACCCTACCTGCTGCCCTCAGATGGGCTCGCCATGCGGCAAGTAATCCCCAGCGCAAGTCAAAATTAGCCAGCACGAGTCGTGTAAGGAGCCAAGCAAGGAGGTCATCAAGACCAACATCGCGGAAGGCCTCAGCAGCAGTATCTGGAAAGATGCTGTGAAGAGTTTGGAGTGCCGTAGCGTAGTGGCGTAGTGCGTGACGTTTTGGCGACGACGCCTCGTCTGTCGATGGCGAGTGAGACTCTTCATCCGGGAAGTTCAGGGCGGACAGAGCAAGTGCAGCACTGTAAAGATGAGGGGCCGACAGTCTGTCATCCGCGACAAAATCTTTCAGAGGTAATATAGTCGCCAGTCCCTTTACCTTATCCTCGAGTACAGACTGGTAATACTCCGGATCCCGAGGTGACTGAAAGCATTGATAAGCGGGCGGCGTGTTCATTGAGATCGGAGATGAGATTGATATCGAGGAGCAGAACAAGTCATCCGGAGCATACAGATCCATTCCACCGAACCTGTCCGTGTACAAAGTTGGATGTTGTATCATGGAGAAGGCTGATCCAGAGAGGTGCAATTGTCTGTTGTTATTATCCTGAAATGATTGGGCTAGACTCAGGTCTTGCCACATCCAGTCCTCATTTTCCGGCATGATCATGACCTCGTCGGTTGATTGAGGACGATTGTCATTGCTATTCCCAAGGGGATAAATGGAAGAAACATCTACCTCATCAAGCAAGTTCATAGATGATGGCTCTGGGTTGGGAGCAGGTTTCTCAGTGGGCTGTGTCCGCCGTCTCTTCCGCGTTGGGACCTTGCCCTGTGATTTCTGAGTGACCGAGAAAGTTTGGTCGCGAAAGGCGAACTTGACGCCATAACCCTCGCATTTCAAGTCCACCCTCTGGCACTTTGGTGGGAATTGAGTTAGCATCGAATACAAAAAAAGCAGGCCTACGCGTGATGAGCAGAACTTACGTTGAGGCATTCAGGACTACCCTTGTCGCATCTCAAGTGCCTCTTTCGGCAGGTGAAGCAACCACTCCGATCACGAGACACCACATTCCGACGCCGAGGACCTTGCTGGCCATTTTCTGAGTCTGACGGCGGTGTATGGGACATGGCCACGATGCATGTGAAGTTGAAAAGCCTTGAGTTATAAGAGCCTCGCACCTGGTCTCCACCCAAAGGCCTGGAGAGGACGTATTTATGGGTATCGTTATGGATGTCCCGCGATGGAAAGAATTCGAAGGAGAAGGCGAGCCCGGAAGGGGATCCGGTAGATTTTACAACCATCTGGCCATCCCCTCAGCGCCTTATCTTTCTCCACTACTCGGTAAAGCTACTGTAGCCTCCAAAGACAGCGACCAACATGTCGATCCCCACCCTTATCGCACCTAATATTCCAGTCTTCCAGTCACCAATTAGGAATGTCATTCACTAGGAAGCTGGCCTCACGACTCTTCCAAGGCCTGACTGCCGAAAACATGCCATTTGGCGGTCAACCTACTGTAGTTCCGGCGAGAAGGCGGCTAAAAATCCGACGGCAACATTGAAACATTCCTCCTCTGCTAGGTTAATTTCAATGAAATCCCATGGTCTCTACGAAAATAGCCTTCTTTAACTTGCTTTCAATCCGCTTCTATCTACTATGATCTACGAACTCCTGCCTTCTCTGGGCGTGTTACTACTGTACATCGCTTTCCAGAGTTTCCAAAACTCGCCTTGGCCAGAGTCTACCAACTGCTGAGGATTGCCTCGCTCAACTACTTGTCCCTTATCCATCACCAACACCATGTCAAAGTCTATGATTGTTGCTAAACGGTGTGCAATTGCCAGCAACGTTTTGTCGGCCAGGCGCTCGCGCAGAAGTCTTTGGATGCGATGATCGCTTGCCTCGTCGAGACTCGCAGTCGCCTCATCAATTATTACGATCTTCGTGTCGGCGACAAGAGCCCTGGCGACTGCTATAAGTTGGCGCTCGCCCTGTGATAAATTGGCCCCATTTGCTGTGATTACTTGATCCAGTGACCAGTGCTTGTCAGTGTTTCCCAGCACATCATCCAGCACGCCTTGCAGTGCCGCGTCTTCTACAGTGCCTGTGAAGTCAAGATTGAAGCGTAGCTGGCCCTCAAAAAGCGTCGGATTCTGAGGAATGAAGCTTACTCCCTGCCGTAAGTGCTCGGCGTCAACTGTGTCTAAGTCAATTCCGTCAATTGCCACTCGGCCCTTGAACTTGGTTGCAAGACGCAAGACACTAGCTACGAGTGAGCTCTTGCCGCTACCAGAGCGTCCCACGATGGCGATGCGTTGACATGGCCGTGCATCTAGATCAACTCCGGACAGAACTGGCTCGCTATCCAACAAATATCCGGCCGTCAAGTTCTCGACTTCTAAGTGGCCATGTGATGGCCAACTTGTGAGGTCTTGATCCGGGTTAGCTCCTGCAACTACTTTAGGTTCTTGTGGGATAGTGTGAGCGTATTCCTCAATTCGCTGAAAGCTGTTCATCTCAACCTCCAAAAGACTTGAGAGGTACACAACATCTATACTATCAGTATGCTTTTTGGCATGGGTAGTGGAGTGAACGAGACTTACAGAGGAGAGCAGTGCACAATGTGGTCGAGCTGGTCATGCTAAACCCAATTGTTGCAGGGCTTGCACTGCTGGAAAGCACTGCCAGGGTAGCGGTCGAGAGCGAGATTGCACCGGCGAAAAAATCCATTCGCACAGCCAGCCATCTTTGGCTTGCGCTGACTGCCTCCCATGCGCGAAGGTAACGTTCTAACGCCTGCAAGAAGTGTACATTAAAAGCAAACTCCACACGGTGAGCTCTGATGACCTCAATACCCGACACCGCGTCAGATATGTTAGAAAGCAGAGGCGAAAGGCTCGCAGCATACAGACGTTTCGCTGCAGTCGAGCCATGCAGGTAGACGTGACCTGTGTAAAGTGCTATCGTGAGAACAGCGATTGCTGGAAGTAGAAAGGCGGGAAGCATGGAAGACACAGCCGCGAGACGGAAACCGATAGACAAGTAGTTTTCAACCACCTGCTTCAACAATTCCGTCACCGTGTTGTCAAGAGAGAACATGTCGGAAGAGAAGCGGTTCATAATTTGGCCAGCTGGCGTACAGGTAATCCAGGTAAACGCTGCGCCAAACACAGACATCAACATCTTCAGATGCTCTATGCGGCTTGCACGAAGCGCACCACGAAAGAAAATGAGGGATGCCAGAGATATCAGTGTCAGTTGAATGACGCCAATGCCGGCATATATCGTCAGGTTAAAAGTCGTGCCAGAAGTCCATGGAGCGGTATTGCCATTTCTGGACTCAGTTGACCACCGCATCAGCCATAACGACGACGCAACATCCGATGCCTGAGCCGTGAGAATAAGGGCGCAAAGCAAGATTAAGAATGCAGGAGATCCAAACAGTCTTAGGTATTTCAGCATATATAATCGGCCTATTAAGCCAGTCATGAGCGATTCGGAGCCTGATTTGGATGGACGCGAAGTCGCTTCCGCATCCTGTTCTGATGCGACGCTGCCCTCTCTGACGCTGAGCGTCTCTCCGGATAGAGTCGACAGCAAACTTTTGTTTTCCGGGTTTTTTGCAACCTCGAGTACAGTGTCCACTCGTTTCGTCACACACTGAACACTCCCGTCCCCGAGTTCTATCTCGAGTTCGGCAAACTCCTTGCACTTTGGGTCCTCTGTGACCAAGACCACAGTTCGATTCTTCATTAGGGGCCCCAGAATGCAATTTTCAACAATCCACTTCGAGGTTGAGGAGTCCAGAGCCGACAATACATCGTCCAGGAGAATTGTCTTCGTATTGGCGTAAATTGCTCTGGCCAATGCCACACGGGCTCGTTGGCCACCGGAAAGGGAGCCACCAGACTCGCCGACTTCAGTCAAGTCACCTTCAGGAAGCGATTGGAAGTCGACTTCGAGGCAGACAGCACGTATCACATCTTCGTATCTCTTGGCTGAGAATGGAGACGTGAAGAGAATATTGTCCTTGATAGATCCACCTTGTAGCCAAGGGGCTTGACCGGCATAAGAGATGACCTCCGTTGAGTAAGAACGTATGGTTATTTCACCCTCTACCACGGGAAGTTCAGCTATCAGCGCCTTAAGAAGGGTGGATTTGCCAGATCTAAATTCATGTTAGCTGGTTTCTTTCCACATTGAGTCGTATTTCATACCCAGTCTTGCCCGTGATGACATTGAGTCCACCACGAACCAACTCAAAATTGACGTTGCTAAGAATTGGCTTCAGGCATTCTATTTTACCAACACTAATAGTTGCCCGCCGTGCGCCAAGAAACGTCCTTTCGCCAACCTGAAATGGTTCCTCGCAAGCTTCTAGAAGACTCTCTGGGTCACGGTCCAAGAATACTACGACACGTTTCAATGAGACCATTGATTGCGCATAGGTACTGACGCCAATAACTGCTAGGGACAGCATTGACTTCAAGGTATTGAATATGGCCACCACAGTGAAGACAACTGCAGGAGTCAGGGGCTGTCCCGCGCCGAGCGTGTAGATGCCCAGAGACATAACCAGAGGCACGAGCACGAAGGCAGATGAGACTGTCTCGGATGCAGTTGTCACAATTGCCTTTTGCCAGATAGCTTTCAGCTCAGCCTCTCGCTTCTCGCCAATCCAGCTTGTGAAAGCAGATGACTGGCCCAACATCTTGATAGTCTGAAGACCCTTGATGGTTTCGCTGACACGATGCACTCTTAAGTCTATGGCAGCCATAACTCGTGTCTGCGCGACTCCTTGAAAGGCGCTAATGCACCACGAGATGGGAATTCGAGTGACGAGAATCGTCAAAAGGCCCGGCACATATGACCAGCCGATCGTCTGGTAGAGTAGGACACTGGCTACTGCAATTTCGACGGGTACCATAAACCCTGCCATAATGGTGTACCGAATTGTCGTGACTTTGTCGATGTCTGCGGCAACGTGATTGGTAACTTGAGCAACATCTGGGCGCAGGCCCGGCTTTTGTTGCAGAAGCTTTCGATAAACAGTATGAATAACCAGCCCCTTGAAGTAGCAAATAGTCTGTGTCGAGAAGAACTCGAAGGTTTGCATACAGAGGCCGCGAGCAATAGGCGAGATGCCAAACAGCAGGATAGAAAACCATGGCCTGAAGCTTGTGGTGTTGGTCGAGCCTTCAAGATGCTGGAGTAGACTGCGCAGCCCAATCGCTCCAATAAACTCGGCCAATCCACAAAGAATCATGAGTAAAGCCATCCCAGCAAGCCGTGGCCTGAATATATGCCATAGCGCACAGGTCGATGTGGTCGTCTTCGATCGTGTCTCCTCGAACGTTTCCGACCATATCACGGGATCACTTCCTGGCATTAGTGGCGGAAGATCATCAATTGTCACTTCGTCATGAAAGCGATAGGCTTTGAGAATGAACGGACTCGCCCAACCGTAGCTCCACCATCGTGTGATTGGGGTGCAGGTGGCAGATGGATGTGGTGGTGAGCCATCGATGGGAACGACGTAATGAAAAGGGGTAAATAGTGGGATGATAACGGACACCGAGAAACTGCAAATGATATGAACTGCTTCAAGCCGTGAAATATAGAAGCTGGGCTGGCCTGGTTGGACAACAGATAGAGGTAGAATGTAATTTGGAATAGTGTAAAAGACGAAGTTCGTCAAGGCAAAGGCATTTGCAGCCAGATGAATATCTCTACGATGCCTTGATGAGATGAGATAGTAGAATCGTAGCAATAGAGTCAAACCCTGCATCTCATGTTAAACTGCTTCATGCTGTTAAATGGGATCAGCCTCTGAAGCTTACACAAATAGCTGTGGATATACCAGCGGCAAGCTTTGCTTGGTAGCAGAAAGCCTGGAATGCGGAGATGATACTGAGCGCTCCAACCCCCAGGATAGCCAGTATGTTGATCAAAATGTGTGCTAATGAGAAATACCTGGCTGTTTTCTCTTGTCGATGCTGAAGAAGCCGACGAATGAAGAACACAAACAGCAAAATTGCACTGCCAGCCACTGGAGCTACACTAAAGAGCTCAAGAGTCTCTGGTTCTTCTGTAAGGGGAGGCTGAAACACTACCTGGACAGACATGATGCTCCAGGCGCATTAGTGTGGCGCATGTCACGTCAAGCCAGGGTCGAGGTACTGTGGCGTGGGGAGATACATGGAGAGATAGAAGACGAAAGGCCGAAAGAATTGCGGCAGCTCACATTATACCGTTCTATGATAAGTAAATGCGTTCTCCAGGCTCACTTTCGTTCTACTTGCCCTGTTCTTGGCCAACAAAACCCCCTTGCCACTCTGGTCTAGTGTTAAAGTTTTCCTTCTCATTCACGATACTGTTAGTCACTCCTCTATGTCAATTATGTTCATTTATTCGTAACTTGCCCAAAAGAGTAAATCAGCTTATCTCGAATGTTCATCGTACAGAATTGCCGTGTTGGGTTAGTCGCTTAAACTCACGGCGGGCACCCGCCTCATCTTGTCAATTGGCCCACCGCCACTATCATCAGGCCGATTTTCCTAATTGGTCGCTGTTATTGAAATCGAATATTGTTCTTTCTACATGTACAGTATCTTAACCGCCGTTATCGCAATCCTTGGGCGTTGAGGCTCTCTGACTTGCGGAGGCTCAGCTAGCAACAACGATCAAGGTCCCAGCAGTGTGCACCTCGTTAACATGGCTGTCATGTCGTCCGTGCTGAAAGGTACCTTGGCGGCCTTATGCGTGCCGCTTCTGGCCACTGCATCCCCTACCTTCAACCAACAAGTGCTTGGGGATGTTAGCACAGGTTTCAAGACATTCAGTCTACCCGAACATCCGGATTATTCAATCCGCATTCGTGAGCAAAGCGATGAGCTGTGTAATGCAGGCTCCAAACAATACACAGGGTGGTTGGACACCGGCGGCAAGCACCTGTTCTTCTGTAAGCCATGGATAGGCCCCTACTCAGTTCCACGTTGCTAACTACCTTAGGGTATGTCGAGAGTTTGAATGATCCAACAAATGACCCATTGAATCTATGGATGACCGGAGGACCTGGCTGCAGTGGCCTTATCGGTAAATTGCATCGTCCATCAGACTGAACGATGCAAACTAACATATGTGCAGGCATGATGCTCGAGCTGGGACCATGCTTGATCAACAAGGATGGCACTGGCACTTACAGGAATAAATTCTCATGGACCATGAATTCCTCGATGATTTTTATCGATCAGCCCGCCGGAACTGGGTTCTCCTATACAAATGAGGGTGTAGACATGCCCTCAGATTCCTTTGTTGCAGCGGCAGATACATATGTGTTCCTTCGCATCTTCTACTCTGTCTTTCCGCATTTGAAGAGTTTGCCTTTTCACATCTCGGGCGAGAGTTACGGCGGTCACTACGTGCCCACAGTTGCAGCTGAGATCGTCCGCTACAACACGGCACGCATCGCTCCTGAGTTCAAGATCCCCTTAAAGTCGATCATGCTAGGAGACGGATTTGTCTCCCCGCTAGATGTCACATGGGGATACTATGAGACCCTTTGCAAGCCGAAAGCTGGAGTACCAGAACCAGTATTCAATGAGACACGATGCACGCAAATTGCAGAGGCTCTTCCGCGTTGTGTATACCTTCATGAGGCATGCTATTCATATTCTGATCCCATCCTCTGCCACGCGGCCGATCAATATTGCATTGACGAGATCCGAAACCTCTTTGATTTGGAGGCCGGCGGCGGTGGCCGTGATCCCTTCGACATCACTCGCACATGCGAAGTGGACCAGTTCTGCTACCTAGGTGTTTTGGATATCGAAAGGTATATGAACACGCCGTCTGTATGGTCAAGCCTCGATGTTCCAGCACCGGTCGCAAATTTCAGCCTAATGAGCATGGACATCCACAATATGTTCACTGCGGGCAACGATCTGTACGTCAATACGGCCGAGGAGGTCCGTTATGTACTACAGGAGGGCATTGATGTCCTGGTTTATAACGGCAATCTTGATTTGGCATGTAATACGCCTGGTAACTTACGATGGTCTGAGAGACTGCCTTGGGCCGGCCAAGCGGAGTTTGTGGCTCAAGAGTTACGGCCTTGGTACGCGACCCGAGACGGGGAGAAAGTGCAGGCGGGAACTATGAAGGAGGTCAAGGCATCTGTTCTCGGGAAGAAAGAGCTAGCGAGATTTTCATTCGTCACGTATGACTATGCTGGCCATATGGTGCCCTTAAATCAGCCTGAGCTATCACTTTACATGCTCAACCAGTGGCTAGCTGGCGAAGAATTCTAGACTGTTACTCTGTCGGCAAAACACATCATCAGCCAAGGTCGCAATGTGTTGTTAGACTCCAGTGAATTTGAATACCATCACTAATTCTTGTATGATCTTCGTCTAAACCCTTAGTGGATCCAGCTTCAGGGCGTGAACTCAGTAATGATATTACGAAACCTTTTCTTTTCGCTGCACTTTATAGTTCAGCATATTTGAATTCTAGCGCTTAGGCTAAGAAGGATCTAGTTCCTGCCCGTTGCCTCAATAGGTAACAAGATACGACTAGCAACTCAATACATGCATGCAAGACCTATCCTCGATAGGATTTGGCTGTCAATATCAACCGACTGATTCTCGGACTCAAAAGCCAACTTTAAACATGTCATCTCTACGAGCCCTCAAGTTCGTTAGTTAAAGAGTTAAGACGAACCATCGCCAGGTTTCACATGGCTCTGGGGCTGACACGAAAAGGAGGCAACGGTCACAGAGACGTGTAAAGACACAGTGACATAAGTCTGATATCTGTTCCATTTCGTCGCAATCCATGGGCTCAGTTGACGACAGCTCCAATATGTCCGGCCCGGCGGACCCGTCTCTCCCTGTCATCGCTTACCTAGGTAACTTGCCTCCGTCAATTGACCCACTTCTCGGGCGGCTCCGATCCCGGTTCAACATATTCAGCTATTCTGTCACCTCGGAAGATCAGTTCTTCTTAGACTTCCAAGCCGACTCCTCACCACTCTCCAAAGTATCGGGAATATTGAGACTCGGGACTCACGCCACCACCGGCCTCCCGCAAGGATGGACAGCCTCCATTGCCAAACTTCCAAAAGTGCCACCGACACTGAAGTTACTCGTAAATCTTGGTCATGGTCTTGACAAGGAGGACATATCCGGCAATATGTATCGTGGCATCATGGTTTGCGGAACGGCTGGTGGGACAAATTCGACATCCACCGTTGCGCTTTATCTTACCATTGCCGCTTTCAGACAATTGAGTTCCGCTGAGAGAGCGGCGAGGACTGCGATTCCCAAACTTTTTGTTGGTGCCATGCACGCAGCATCGAGAGTAGGAGTTGACCCAGACGGCAAGACTGTCGGTATCGTCGGTTATGGCAAAATTGGAAAACGGACCGGCCAATTGCTGGCTGCCATTGGGATGCAGGTGTGCTGCGTGAAACGGAATGATGCGCCGAAGGGCAAGAAATTTACCGTCGACGAGGACGGCGTGCATGAGTACAGCAAGATAGACGACATGATTCCTGATGTGGACTGTCTTGTTCTCACATGTCCATACACGACAGAGACACATCACATAATTCATGAGCAGCGGATACGAAGGATGAGGAAAGGGGTACGCATTGTAAATGTCGCGAGAGGAAAATGTATCGACGAAGAAGCTCTCATTAAAGGCATCGAGGATGGAATTATTGGCGGTGTCGGTCTTGATGTCTACGAAAACGAGTGAGCCCTCTGTTTCATTTTGTGACATCGGGAGCTAATACTTTGAGTAGACCAATGATCAGCTCCAAGCTACTAGAACTTGACTGCGTGTCATTACTACCTCATATCGGCGGCTTATCAGTCGAGTCTACCGAGGTATAACCCTAGCCCCCCTCCTATGGAAGATCTTTGTTAACGCATCTTTAGAGACACATCCGCAGTGCATTCGAGATAATTGAAGACTTCTGGCCAGAGGAGTAGATACAAGGGAAGGATAACTGGAGCATTAGTCATAGTATTCCGAGGGAATGTAACAAGATAAACATGTCGATGCTTGGTCTTATCCTAGATTTGATAGTTTTACTGCATGGGCATGTTCAAGTTTAAGCCGAAAAGAATATCAACATCAAATTAGATGTGTGTTAACTCACGAACGTAGCATAACAATCTAGAACATTACTCATCATCATCTCATCCTTCTCAAGGAATTGCCTATGTCAAATCACCCCTAGTCCTGTTAGACCCAGTTCTTGGGGCCAAACGTCTCACCAGGAGCAACAGAGTCTAGTGCCGTGCCTAATCCATCAGCTGTTGTGTAGGCGATGGTATTACCCCACCAATTAAGCTCGACACCCGGATAAGTCAGGCAGAAGAAGACGAGGAATGTGGTGATAGCCAGGCCCGAGTCCAATGCGGCCGAGAGCAGGTAATTATACTTGGTCCACCAGTCGCGGAATCTGCGCTTGATGGTCCAGTTAAATACAAGTCCCACGAGAGCCCAAGAAATGGTATTCGCAGCCGTAGCAGGCGGAATGGATGAGGTAGACGAGAAGATGACCGGTGTGTGAATCTAGCAATATTGTCAATGGACTGAAAATTGACACATGGCAATTTAACGTACCTTCTGAAGAATTTTGTTGTCAGGGAACTTCAAAGCTAGGAAGTAAATGATGACGGGTAGAACGGCGCCGATTAGCAGGAACCAGAGCATACTGTTGTACATGCTCCCATTCTTGAAAAGCTTCGATGGTCCAATAAGACCCCAGAAGACAGCATTGGCGGCGTAACCGTTCGCCAGAGGACAGAAGAACTGCAATTAAGGTCAGTATGTTTAGCACTAGTAAAGCTGAATGGATTACTCACATTGTTATCTGCCGAAGGGGTACAAATACCGTTGACGTTGCCCATTGCCCACAAATTAACAGCCGTCTGGACCATCCATGAGATAATGATCGCGATAAGTTGCGCAGCAAACGTAACCCTTGGTGGAATTTTCATGTAATGGCCCGTCTTCATCGACTGAACATAGCCAAGACCCTGGAAAGTGCAAACGAGAGTGAACACCTTGAAGACGACATTGTTCATCATGTTTCCGGGCCAGATGAAGCCACCAATGAGGGCTGCAAGAACACCAGTATTAACGGTCATGTTGCTCGTCGCCTTCATAAGGCCAATCGGCACAAGTAGGACAACGTTTAAAAGCATGCTGACAACTAGTCCCCACCAAGGCAGCTGAGTGTTGTACACATACAGGAAGGCGACACTGATACCGAATATTCCTGCAAGAACAATGCCATACCACCACTCAGGAACAGGCTTATACGCTCGCATAAGACGGCCATGAACATCCTCTGACTCATCCTTTGTGCCACGGAATGCAGCCTTGAAGGCGCTCCAAAGCATGTGCCGATGATATAGGTATGTGTGCACAAGGATTGAGGTAACAGATGCGAAACCAAGGCCGTATGAAAGAACAGAAGTGGTAGAGAGAAACACAGGTGAGTAGTCATAGTAAGCATCGTTGTTGATGCTGTAATCCGGGTTCATGACACGGGAGGTGTTATACGCCTGGCCAGTGTTGTCGAATGTGCCAGAAGATGAGAATGGGAAGTAGCGGCCATACCAAACGTTCTGCCAGTGTAGGGCAGGCGAGATGATCCATAGGAAAAGGACGCTCCCCCCCAAAACATTCCAGATAGCCCAAGATGGCACAATCAAAGGAGAAGACAAGTAGCCAGAGATTTGATTCCAGTCGAGGGTCAGTGGAAGCAGATCCATACCAGAAGTTGCGCCGAATACCTGGTTCAGAGTGACGTTATTTGGTCTGATCCATGTGATCCAAGCGAATGTTGTAAGGGACGTAAACAAGAAAGTCGGCACCACCTGCCACACGGCAGAAACCAAAACCGCCAACCAGAAGAACTTCATTCGATGCATCTTCCAGCCGTTGGCAATAGCATTATGAAATTTATTGTCATGGAAGCCATAGATCATTGAGCAGGTTGGTAAAGCACCAGGCCAAACGCAAAAGGCAGGTCTGACCAAAAATCGGTGGAAAATGCCGACAAAGCCGAAACTGAGGGCCTGTGTTGATAACAAGAACATGAATCGGAAGCCAGGATCAATAGGAATGTCGAGGAACTTGTCAAAAGCGACGTATACATCGGAAGCGAGAGAACCGTTATCAAACGCAGCGACCAAGCTCGACATAATAGCCGTGATTGTGTGTTCCTTATGGTTGAATGGGCCGGGATTCAAAGTGAACTTGTAGCCAAAGACATTGAAGATTCGAGCAGGTAGAACACGGGCCATAAAGTGTCCGATTGGAAGGGTCACGATGATGACGAGATAGGCTGCGAGAAAGACTATACCATAGTCCAGTCAGTATTGTAGTTTTACAATTAGGATAGTCGGTACGAGACGTGCTTACTGGGTGGGGAGTGCAGCTGGAAGAACTGCAAAAGTCCCGAGAAAATAAGCGTTGAGACGCATCCTAGGAACCATGCTCTGAAAGTATTGACTGGCAACTCTGGGTCGTCAATGGGTGGCACAATGGCTCTGACCTCAGGATACGGCCTAAGAAGTCCATGGTGTTAGTGCGCGGTGGAATGAATGGACGAGTTCTTGGGCAACTCGAGACAATGTAAGTAGACTTACGAGTCCTCAATCTCAGCACTACCAACTTCAACATCATTGAATCCGGTGGACGCGGGATTCTTCATGTCGTGATCGTCGGAGCCGCTATGTCTTGGCTCCGTGTCAGCCACCAACATGTGGCCGGGGTCCGTCTTCTCGCTCATGGCGCCGTGTGCCGTGCGGCTCGGGACTTGGCCAAAAATTTAGGTAATTCAAACAGGCTGGATCCTGTAGAAAAGTTTTCCGTAAGCCGCTGGCCCCGTCATGGAGGCTCTTGGAGCGGCCCTCGTGGCCTTGATGAATGCGTCGCGAATTCGTAAATGGCCCCATGGAGTCGCGATTTCGTCGTACAGGATTACCGCATTTGGCTACGGTAGGGGGTCGCCTTCTTATCAGTGGCCAGTTCCCGTCAAAGATGCAGAGCCGTTTGCCTTATCACTCCTGTGCCTCTGGACTTATCTTTTGGTGGAGAATGCGCGGCCCGCAGAGATCCGTATTCCGCGGTCGATCCTGTCAATTCAGCCGGCACGACTCGTGGTAGACGCCAAAAGTCCAGAGATCAGAAGACTACAACCTGACTACTCCTCTAGTTACCGGGGACTAGATAGTGTCAAACTAACGTGCGATAAGTGTATGGCATCGCAGGCTATAAACAGGCCTAGACCAGCAATTAAAGGGTTCCGCTCTCCCCTTTCACCGTACCTCGTTACTAGATTGGGAAACCACAGAGCCGCCAGTAGCCTCTTCACGCTATCGACACAGGAAACATGAACCAGCAATTGCGAATGCAAATAGCTGGAATGGGTTGGCCTTATCATGTTAGCTATAAACAACCGTTGTTTAGTTAATTTGAATCTACGAGGAGACGAAACTGCATTACAGGTTATTGATACGAGCCCTTGCAGCGGTCAATTGGGTGATTGGAATCCGTCCCAACTCATCTCTTCAAAGCCAGCAACAGGCAGTGTCATGGCGCCCTCTGCAATCAATGACAGCAATGGCTTTGGCCCCACTATCCAACCCCTGGATGCATCCTTGCTGAAGACGACCCTCCTGTCTCCGGGGAAGGAGCCCCCAGTCCCAGCGGCAGATGACCCCATCCGGCGCACACAAAGTTACACGACCAGCCACATGTTGACGGTGACATGGACTCAGAAAGCTGGTTGGGCAAACCCAGAGATTAGACCGTATGAGAACTTCAGCTTTTCGCCGACGACGAGTGTGCTACATTACGGCACAGAATGTTTCGAGGGTTTGAAGGCGTATCGAGGAACTGACAACCGCTTACGACTTTTTCGTCCAGAGCTGAACTGTGCGCGTCTGCGCGTCTCGTCGCTTCGAGGGGGCCTTCCTGACTTCGATCCTATAGAATTAGCCAAGTTGATTGAGTCTTTTCTGGCTGTTGACGGACCACGGTGGCTCCCAGACCAAGGTACTTTCTTGTATGTTCGGCCAGCCATCATTGGTACGAGTGCAGCTCTGGGCGTTAGCAGACCAAGCGAGGCTCTTCTATTTGTCATCGCTGTGCTCTTCCCACAATTTGGACAGGCTGGTCCCGGGCTCAAGCTGCTCTGCAGCAATGGACAAGTCAGGGCGTGGCCTGGTGGTTTCGGAAACGCAAAGGTGAATTGTTGCCCTTTCTGGAAACACATCCGCTGATTCATTATGACAGCTTGGTGCGAACTACGCGCCAACACTTGTTGCACAGGAAGAAGCCAACAAACAAGGCTTCATTCAAGTTCTATGGCTGTTCGGCCCCGAGGATAACGTGACGGAGGCCGGGGCCAGCAATTTCTTTGTCATCATCCGGAATAAGGAGAGTGGGCGGCCGGAGCTGCTGACACCTCCGCTTGGAGACATCATCCTGGACGGCGTGACACGGAAGAGCGTTCTGGAGCTAGCGAAAGAGCGACTGACAGATGGCACCAACGGACTAGAAGGCCTGGACGTTGCAGAGCGACAAATCACAATGGGTGAGCTTGTTGAGGCCTCAAAAGAGGGGCGGTTGCTTGAAGCCTGCGTAACTGGTACTGCAGTATGTTTGCTCTCCACTTGGCCTTCGTGACACTGGTCTAACTTGGTAATCCCAGTTCTTTATTGCCCCAGTTGGGGTAATTCGATATCGCGACGCAGACATCAAGATTGGAGCGGTGGAGGATGGTGTCCTAAAGGCACCCTATACATTGCAGATTCGCGACTGGCTCAGAAAGATTATGTATGGCGAGGAAAATAATAAATGGGGGCGGTTAATAGATGAAATGTGTAGAAGATACCAGATCACCGCAAAGACAGATTAGATCAATGAAGGTGAATAGAGCGCATGCAGCCCCAAATGTTCGAAGTGATACTGCTTAACGTATTGACAAGCGGCAACATCATTCCACGACGAGAAGTGCCAAGGAATTGTCAGATAGGTAGGAGGGCATTTTTCAAGATTGGCAATCACCAAGAACCGGAGCATGTGTATGTGCGGTCTACATTTTTCGATGTAACCCATTCAAGGCCATCTCCGCCCCTGAGGAACGCTTCACTTTCGGATGTTCGCAGCATATGCCCACACTTGTGCCAACCACATGCGTGAGGCTCCGAGTAATACAGGGTGACTGGTTTACTTTGACGGTGTGTCTCGAGGATAAGACATACTATGTGTTCATGTTCATATCTAAGAGTGCTAAGGTCTGCAAAATGTGACTGGTGGCACGCCGCCATTTCTTGCTTCCTGTGATCATCGCTCGTGGCTTGTCAGACCGTTCAATGAGATCATAGGGGCCTTACCGGAGGGGTCCACCAAGGACTACTTACTTGACATGGAGTGGCGGCCAGGATGTGGCTTCGTCGTGCCGGCTGTGTGAATGACCGCCTTCTTAGGCGGTGTCCAGCGTAACGTCAGCGCTCCCCTCTCCAACCACTAACATTCTCAGAGTGCTCTAGCACTAATGCACGATCGCCAAGTTAAAAAGCGGCGACGTATTACGTAGCAGACACAGCAGGATGATGTCGGAGGGTGCAATCCTGCTCGACGGCCGTCAAGGCATCTCAATCTAGTTATATTGACTATTCACCATTGAATCCTGTTTGCCTAGCCTGTGGTGTGATTCTTCACCCAGAAGGGATTGAATGACAGATTCACTCACGAAAGTCAAACAAGACTCAATATGCCCTCAAGTCAAAGAGGAAACCGCCTGAGAAGGCGAGATTCACTCGACGGTTATGACGATGTTCCACGAACAACCCGGGACTCGCAGAGAGGTCGAGGACGCAGGCCGTCGCCAGTACGATATCGAAGCTCAAGCTACAATGGGAATGACCACCGTTATAGAGACCACTCTTACGATTCATACGACTCTTACGATGACATTCCAAGATCTAGAAGGCAGAAGTCTACCCGTAGCGGCGGCACTCGGCGGCACCGTAGCGCGACACGGCACCGCAGTCCGTCCCGCAGGTCATCCCGTAGCCTGAGCATGGACCGCAGTGCGAAAACAGACCAAGCTGTGCGGGCGGCTCTGACCGCCGGCGCTCTAGAGGCTATCAAGCAGCGTAAAAATCCTGGTGGTTGGGTTGGCTCGAAAGGTGCCAGAGTTGCGACAGCAGCGATTAGTGCTGCGGCGATCGACGTCATGGTAGACAAAGACCCTGGGAGGAAGAAAACACGGCACACGGCCGGAGCCACGATCGGAGGGTTGATGGTCGACCGCCTATTGAATGGAAAGAATCGTCGTTAATCTGCCGGTCCGATTGAAACGGCCTTCTTGCCGCAGTTTCGAGGCAGCTCACGCAACTTACAAGCAGCCTCATGTCATGTAGCAACGATTGCATGGGCACTACAGAGTGGTTGGTTGCACGATTTAGACTGGGCACTTCCTACCACAAGAGGTTGCTAAGGCTGCGGGGCATTTGATTGCGGCACCGCGGCTCTGAAGATGCGACGGTGGCGCGGGTCGCATTAACGGTCGTTTGAGAACACACGGCGCAGGGTCGGCGAGCAATCACGGCCATGAGAGGTTGACAAGGAAGGATAGATGGTGGCTTCAAGGCGACAGATGACTTACGGAATTAATGTACAATATATGATATCAAATTCTCCATCAATTGTAATAGTAACAAGCTAAGACTGTGTCGGAAAGTGGTAACATGTTCAAATTTGGGCTTCGCTAAGCGCCCAGATGCCACGAACAACGCATGTTCAACGCCGCCGCATCGGCCGGCTAGCGACTAGACCTCGCCTGTCTCATATGAGACTGAACTGGAAATTCGACTCCTATTAGTTTTTGGCCGTGGGTAGACCCATGGGACGGTGGGCTCTCTGCCCGGCCATGATACTGAGGCTGAACACGAAGCAGCCAACCCACGAACGCTACCAAGCGCTGGGAGCTTGATTGTTGGTTTCGTTGTAGCAGCATGCTTCAAGTCTTTTGTGAATCGGTGTATCTACTCTTCTTGCAAACTGAATTCTGACTGTCTATACTCTGGCTGGGTCCTTCCAAAGGGCTATCGTCGAGGCACCTGCATTCAAAGGTTTAATGTCGTCGCAGCAGGCTGAATCTGGGAGCGACAGCCCTATAGCATCACGATGCATATAGATTCATAGCTACAGCAGTCCATATTCAACCAGCATTCCGATGCACACGAGCATTTGTTTATTCGCTAGGTCTGTTGATGCTCTTTCACACTTCCAGGAGTCTTTCATTATCTGTTTCCTTCATTGCTCTTTCTGGCCTCCAATCCAGTACCTACTCGCCATGAAGGCTCGCCATCTATTTCTCCCTGCCGTCCTTGTAGGACTGGCCGTTTCGGCTACTATCCCTACTAAACAGCGTGGGTTCTTTGGCGATCTCTTGCAGGGCGTAGAAAACATCGGTAACGAGATTGGAGACGCGTTTGATCAGCTCTCGGACACCGTCGAGGACAGCGTCCACATAGTTACAGATGCGGCTGGAAACATCATCTCAGAATACGAAGACATTTCCGGTGCCGTAGTTTATGGATGCACGGTAGTCTCCTGTCTCGATGTCCTGGGCACCGCTGGAATTGACTGTGCTATTGCCGTGTTGAAGAAGGTCGACTTGATCGCTGACTTTGTCTACATCAAATCTATAAGTTAATTACATCGTACATACGAGTGGCAAAGGTTATAAGCTGACGGGACAACTTGTCGCGTGAAAATAGGTCGACATAGCAATAGTGGAAGGCCCTCGGGCCTGCGCGAACTGTCCGGAGGCTATAGCAAATATCGCGAGCGGGCAGTATAAATATTGAATATACATAGATTATGGGGACTGGTCAGGAGGATATCTTGGGGGCTCATAAGTCAAGCAGTTTGGGTTGCAGACATAGCATATAATGCCTTGTTATGCGTTGCAAAAGCGAGGAAGATGAATCTTTTGACGAAATAAGCATTTCTGTAATGACAGCAGCGGCATGCGTGATAGACTGTAATGCACAGGAGGTGTAACTTCGAGTTGCATCGCGCTAGCTTGCAAGAAAAGCCCAGGAGCCCAGATCAATCTAGGCCATTAGCTGAGCTGAGCATGCATCCGTGCTTATCGCTGAGCTAAGGCGTGATAGGACTGAACCTTTTCATCCACGATCGACATCCACGTTCAACTCCATTGCAACGGCGCCACGGGCATCAGCTCGATCTGGCAAAATAGATCGCAAGGAGGAGAGACATTTCGATGAATCGACATGGATAAACTCGATAGTATACTGGAAGCGTACGTCGCCACCGGCGACAGAACAAAAGATAGGATACTCGGCGCAGCTTTCGTTGTTGTTAACAGAGATGGCAAGTATCACGGAGGGCAACTCCATATACATTCTGAGCGTTTGCTGATTAGATTAGAGGTAATCTACGAAGGAGCTGCAGGTCGGTCAGGAATCTCTCCAGATGCGCCAGCATTCACAGCCAACTCCTGCTCATGGGTTGCGTCAATGACAAAGATCATTACTTGCACCTGCATAATGCAGCTGGTCGAGAAGAATCTCATCAACCTCGACGACGATATGCGGCAAATAGTGCCACAATTAGCACGAATGCAAGTCCTTCAAGGCTTCGACGGGAATGATGTACCGATACTAAATGACAATACCAAGCCTATCACCCTACGGTAAGCGCGAGAAGACTCGCCAAAAGCCCAGCTACACCTTTGTGACAGTAACTGACGCAATGTAGGAGCCTTCTTACGCACACGGTTGGTCTGGCTTATGACATCGTCGACCCTGATCTCGTGAAATGGTCCAAGGCTGTTGGTCGCACGGCAACCAACTTAGAATATTCACTTGACGGCTGGAATACGCCTCTCAAGTTCGTTCCAGAAGAAGGATGGTGTTATGGCAGCGCCATAGACTGGGCATCGCAAGCTCTAGAAAAAGTCACTGGCCAGACACTGAGTCATTATATGACGGAGAACATATTCCACCCACTCGGGTTGAATGATACGACATTCCATCGCAATTCTTTACAGCATATACAAGGAAGAAGAGTAGAGTGTTCATTCCGCGATGCGAACACAGGCGAACTAAATGGCGGCCCTCATCCTGTTCCTGCAGAGCCACCTGTAGAGAGCGGTGGCGCGGGCTTATATACAACTGCCACCGATCATGCAAAGGTACTGCAAGCGCTACTCAAAGCGTTCCAGAAAGATGGCATCGTCAAGGGAGCGACAGCAGAGGAAATGTTTCGACCGCAGCTCAATGAGGACCAGAGAACGATGCTCAAAAGTACCATGGACGCATCTCATGATGCCTACGTGTCTGAATTCGAACCAGGGATGCCTTTGAACCACGGCATTGGAGGCATCATCAACATGGATGGTGCTCCAGGTAAAAGGCGCAAAGGGAGCATGATGTGGCTAGGAATGGCGAATTCGCATTGGGTAAGCAATTTCATTCTACACAAATGCATACTGGCTGACTTTTGACCATTTAGTGGATTGACCCTGAGTCTGGAATCGCTGCGACACTCGTGTTGAATGTCTTACCGCTTCCAGATCCAGTCGTGAACAAACTCCTTGATGAGCTTGAACGAGCTGTATATGGGTCTCTGCTATCAACTCTTCGATGACATCTAAAAGCCCGCTTCAGATAGCTACCTTTTGACTGCAGTTGTAACAGCAAGACAATCATAATTTTGCCCCTAACATAAAATACTAAGCTCTTCCTATGAGTAGTTCGACATGGTCGCTAGGGTAATATTGCATTGATATCAATGATACTCAGAAAGTGTGTGTAGTTTATCCCTCCGCGGTACGGAAGAGACCAAACGGATTGAGGCGCTTTCCAAGTGCATTCAGATTTTTAGCCATCAATAATAATTGAAAAGCCGTTATTCTGTATGCAGTGATGCATGCACAATAGCTAAGAAAGCAGCGTCAGCTTGGTCAGGTTGTGATGAGAGTTACATGATCGGATGATTGAATGCGAAACACCTGAGAACGGCGGTCACGGCCAATCTGCACCGGTGAAAGATCGGTGGATCTGTGGCCAACGCCCGACCGCCCTAAAAAAAGATGACAATTTCGGCAAGCATGTGGCACGACTGAAAAGCGCGACGTCCAAAACCATCACGCCTGTGCAACTTTTTCTCTCTCAATTCGAACGAAAGCAAGTACTCCTAGCATAGAATCACCGGCATTCACTTTCTGCTTCGTTCACCATGGGTTCTAGCGACATATCACCACCGCATGTTCCCTCGTGGGTTGTGCCGGCTTCAACAGGTGTGCTCGGTATCGGCGTGATCTTTTGGGACCTTTTCTACATTCTGGTGACGCGACGGAGTCTACGTACCAAGTCCTACGGCCTGCCGGTGGTGGTGCTAGCACTCAACGTGGCATGGGAGATCATCTACGCGTTCTACGTGACGGAGCAATGGCTGGAGCTCGTCGGCTTCGCAGTGTGGCTCTTGCTGGATATTGGGCTGATCTACACCACCATACTCTTCGCCCCCAACGAGTGGACGGCAAGCCCGTGGATAGGGCGGTGGATGGCATGGATATTTGCGGCACTTGTAGCTGTCGGGGTCCTAGGACAGTGGTCTTTCGCAAGGTGGTGGCTGAGTCGTCCTGGCATTGGACATGGCGACAAGGCTGGAAAGTGGTATTACGGAGTAGAATGCATTGACACGACTGAGATCGCATTCTGGTCCGCTGCAGTGAATGGACTACTGGGTAGTGCGGGAAGTTTGATGATGCTCGCGGTCCGAGGGCATTCCGGCGGTACGGACTACAAAAGTTGGTAAGTGGCTCTTATTTCATTACTTTGAAGTAGATGCCTGTGTTTCCTATGAATCGACGGATGGTATTGCAAAGCAAGACTTGAACATGACATTATGGCCTCAGTTATGCCATCATGGAGTATCAAACCAAGGTCCCACCAACAAGTGGCAGTCGGGCCCTGGCAACGATATCGTAGGATTAATCATCCGCGAATTCATTGCCTTAATGATACAGCCTAGGCATGGGACCATTCAGCTTCAGTCGGCCTAACAAGACACGTGCTACTCAAGACCTGTTACTTTCAAGGACTCTCACGGCAATGTTCCTCCGCATATCTGTGTAGCAGCATGTCCAAGCACCGGAATCATCATGCTGCATCCGGCTGACACCCCTGAAATAGGTTCTGCAGGACGATCGGGACGCTTGCAGGAATGGTTGGCTGCAACGGCATATTATGGTATTGGTGGCCTGAAGCGCACGGATATTTCGTGAACCCTTTCGGAATGTTTCTTCTCTACACGACGGTTTCCTGTGATCTTATTTACCCATTGCTTCTATGGCATGTTCGTGCGACAGAGAAGGAGCTGCCTGATGGACGCCTTGTTAGTGGCGAAGTGTATGCAAGCTTCCTCCAGGAAGGCAAGAAAAAGGAATGACTTCCCCAGGATGAGGGTGCAAATTGCCACTCGAGGCTACGAGAATGTAAAGTAGGCGGCAAGGATCAAGTTTGATGACACGTTCACTATCACATCCCGTCGACGTATTAAGTGTCTGTATTTATGCCATGGCCCTGCCTGGAAGCTATGGTGTGTCGTACGCAGCTGTTTCTGATCATGTGCAGCCAAGAACAGACCTACTTCCATGATGACAATGACATATGCAGCTATGGGCGGTTTGGGACTAGTCTTTTGAGAATTGGATGTAGCAACTGGAAAATTCTTGCGCAACAGGAAGGGGACCCCAAGAGCCTGGTTAATGGCAAACACCCTACAACCACACATATCTCACGAGGCTAGAATAGGGCGGACATTAGGGCCCAGCCACCAATAAGTTGTGTCATGACCTTGCTGAAAGACTCGCTTGTGGCTTGTTGTCCACGTCGAATCGAGGCTAAAAGCGACGAGGTAGGGACCATGTACGCAGCCGTAGCTCTGATCACCTTGCAAATTCGTATTCCCGGCAGTTGTTGAGCGCGACATGTCATAATAGCCCGCGCCGTGGCTGAACTTCACACCCTTGTCTCCCAACCACAGATCTCCCACACCATTCTAGATTTCCCGTGTTGCATTAAGATCTAAGAGCGATCCAAACGGTTTTCTTGGTATGAATCAAGTTAATTCATGTACAGCCTCGCCCAAACTAGTGTATTCGATCTTGCGTTGTTTCCAACACGGAGCGAACGCCTGCAGATGAGGAAATGAGATTCCCGGTCTTTTGGAAAGTATGCCTCGCCTGGTGAGGATCGTTCTCTTCCATCATCGAAGCTGGGAAAAAGTAAGGTGACCACACCCTTCAAAAACAGGATTCAGCCAAATCGGCAGCCCTACCGACGGTATGGTGACCCCTGTACATATCCCTGTCAGAGGCCGTCAAGTCATGCAGCCTTTGCTGCACAAGGCTCAAAGGGGAACTCGAAATACGGACGAGTGTGCACTGATCTCGTCACGAAGTATTGGGTACTCAATTCAATTACGGCGGTTGTACCGTAGACTTTATATTTAGTAATTAGGTTATCCTTGAAAGTGCTTGTCCATTTGTTTTCAAAGTCCGCGTATCTACCTCCCAGACGCCTTCGAACGGAACACTTACTTCTTTTGAAAATCGGACAACCACAGATATCCAACACAGCAAACTGAATAACGGAACACTGACGAATAGCCAAGGCTAAG